TTTTTTTATATATATATTTTCATATGTTTATATTATAATACATTGTACTGCACTGTACTGTATATCAATATATTCTAAGTATGTTTCTAACAATGTTTAATACATTTGAATAGACTTTAAGGTAGAAATAAAATTATTTTTTATATCTAATATATATGTATATAAATTTTGCTTGAAAAAATCCATTTCATGTTTTTTTATTTTCTCTATGAGCTGACATTTTCATGTTATTTATGCATTGAATATATAAATTGCTTGACTATCAATGTAGTAATATTTATAAATATATGGCAAAAAATAGCCCATATATTTGCGATATATTCCGGATCAATCCTTTTTCATAGAAATTTATAAATCTCTTTAAAAAAAATTCTTTTATGACAAAATATATTTCAGCTAAATTTTTTATATTTTACAAAAATCAATTTTATCATTAATTCTCAAAATGTTATAATATATTATAGTATCATAATATATACATAAATAATATACTGGATTACGTTATACATGTTTAATAACATTATGGTTTTTAATATTATATTATAAACATTGATATTCTATTGTTAATACCATATAAAAACAATAAAAATGTTAAATAAAAATCAAATAAATTAAAAACTAAAAGTAACTATGATATATAATATATAAATTTATATTTTGGATTATTAAAAACAAAATTTTTTCAAAACAATATATAGATATAAATCAAATAATATGCACTTTATTACAAACAATACATTTTTGCCCACATTTGTGACTTTTTACTATGAAAAATAAACTATGGGTGAAAATTACCATTTACTCCCGCTTTCATAAAAACTTTTACCTCACATTACACATACATTGTACAGTATATGTATATTATATATATATATATTAAAATATACGATCAAATAAAGCATTCAACATATTATCGGCACAATATATAATAGTAATATTTATTGAATGCATAAATAGATATACAGTTTTGGTCTACAGTTGTGCTTAATCTCGCATTGCATTTGCAAATCCTCAATGGACTGCATTGAGAGTAAGTGAGTAAATGAGTAATAGAGAAAAGTACACATTTATATGAGTGAGTGAATCGGGGAGAGAGAGAGAGAGAGAGAGAGAGAGAGAGAGAGAGAGAGAGAGAGAGAGAGATCCTAATATTAGTGAATCTTGAAAATACAGTAGTATTTGAAACAAATTTAAATCCATATCCACTGTAATGCATAGAAATCAGACAGTTATGAATTGTATGTGGTTTTATCCAATGGGTGCCATATATGGTGTTTTTATATTGTTATTATTAATAATTTTAAATTTGCTTTTTACTAAATTTAACATTTCCAAAAATTGTTAGTTTTTATATTTGATTCTTATCTATACAAACTACTATATATATATATATATATATATATATATATATATATATGAATTGCAAAAATATATGTATTAATATAACAAATGGATAAATTTATAGAAATATATTTATTTTATAAAAAATGACAATTGTTTTAGAAAGTTTTATTGCATATTATTATAAATATTATTATTATTATTATTATTGAACTTTAAACTTAAACTTTGAAAAGCAATAAATTTGAATTTCAATTTTATATGAAAAGTTATTTGTTTGTATAAACTACTCTAAAATTTGGATTTACTTTTTCATAATATAAAAATATTATTAACATATTTCTATTCAATATAAAACCTTTTGTTTTGTTTATAGCAAAATAAATAACAAGTAATCAAAATTCATATTATATTTTTTATTGTTAAAATGTAAGTTTTTAAAGCTTAATATAATATATTAAAAAACCCATAATTTTTTGTTTGGATATTTTATTATAAATATATATAATAATATATAAATATTAAACACATTTAGAATATATTATATTAAATTTTGAAAATATTTATATTAAATAATATTGTATATTTATTTTAAATAAATTAATACTATATTTAAATTGTACTTACAGTAGATTAATAAGTTTCAATATAAATTATTAAATAAGATAATCGTTTTTAAAAATGTTAAACTTATCATATAGTGATATAATATTCAACATAATAATAAATTTAGTAATAAATTAACATTTTATTATTCAAATTATATTACAAAAAATATTTTATTATGTGCATCTTTATTTTTATATATCCTATATATTATCATATAATGTATTATTATTTTGTTGACCATCATCAATAGATAGTTAAAATAAACATTTTTATAAATATAAGTGACATTTATTATTGTATTGAATTTTTATTCAATATTGAGAATTGATATGAATGGACATCATATAAATTCTAATATAAAATGTTTGAATGTTTGCCACTTTTTTTTAGTTGTTTTGTCTCTCTGTTTAAGACAAAGTTTTTTCACATAAATGTGTTTCCCATATATAATAGTTGAGTAGATTTACCCATAAAAAGTAGATAAAATTGCATACGCTTAAATACAGAGAGAGAGAGAGAGAGAGAGAGAGAGAGAGAGAGAGAGAGAGAGAGAGAGAGAGAGAGCAGTATGTGATACTATAAGAGTAAAATGATTTCATAAAAGTCACTGTTTTATATATAAATATTATAAGAATATATATAAATATAAATATAATATAAATATCAAATAAAACTTTAAAAGTTTTTGGTAAAAATGAAAATACATTGCAAATGTATTTTTTTTGTTTCAAAATTTATATACAATAAAAATGAGTCTAAGAAAAAAAATCAGTTAAAGTTTAACCCAAAAAAACATTATGAAAAACAAATGAAACAAAACTAGAAAATTTTCAACAAATTTACAATGCATTTCATCTTATATATATATATATATATATATATATATATATGAAGATATAGTAAGCAAAATGTGTGACAAAAAAATATAAGGATATAAATGGAAAACAAAAATTTTATTCAAACATAAATATACATTATTTTGTTTTCTATAGATAATATCAGCGAACAAACAGGTAATGGCCAATATTGTTGGCCTTTAAGGTATGATAATATTTATGGATATTTTTATATCATTTGATGGCAACTATATTGGGACACATCTCATGAAGACTGACATTGCATTGTCAGCAAAAGGCTAATAATAAAGACAGCGCTTATCTAAACTTTTGCCACTTTTTTTGTTTCAAACTACTATCTCTCTCTCTCTCTCTCTCTCTCTCTCTCTCTCTTCTTTCTTTCTCTCTATGTTTCAATATATCTATATTTTGAATCCAAATAAAAGTTGGAATATAAAAGCATACATTTTCTTTGCATTTATTTTTTGTCTCTCTCTCTCTCTCTCTCTCTCTCTCTCTCTTTCTCTCTCTCTCTCTCTCTCTCTCTCTCTCTCTCTTATTCAATGTTTTACTACCAAATGTGTCGATGCCTTTGAGGGAAAAATAAACTTACATTTATGTCCACCTAAACTATGTATGAATTTCTTGTTCATGTTTTAGTATATTTTGCAAACACTTTGTTTTTTAAGCAATTTGTCCACTATTTTAATACATTATTTTTCTAGAATAACCAAATAAACTATAGTTTTTTATTATCATTTCTAATAAGATTGGAAAACAATATATAAACTACTGTTTATGTACATATCAATAAGTATTATAGTATATTAAATATTTATTTATGTATTATTTAACATACATAATAATAATTTTATAGAAACTTATTATTTTATTAATTTGTTAACTATATTTTAAAATTTTATTTGTATTAATTTAAATCAGTGCTTATATAATACATTACTAAATTAAAAAATGAAAATATTTTCTATTATTTTTAGTACATATTATATCCGGACATCATTTTTAAACCCTGGAGACAAAAACAACAATCATATTCTAGAATTCATAACTACTAGTACTCAGTATTTAAAAAGTAGTTTATATTTATTAACAATTTATTTAATCTAAAATAACATATTTAATATGTACATTATGTACATTATGTGAATTAAATGTTAAATTATTAATATTGTAGTAATTTTTTATCAACAATTGTCATCTAATAATTTCTAATATATATAATAATTATAATTTTTTAATATATTAGATAAATTTAGATATAAATTACTGTATTTTATATTATCTATATATTCTGGTATTCACAAACAGTTCAACAATTTTTTTCATTGCTTTAAAATTGTTAAGTACAGTATATTAAATATCATATGTTGTTTGTGTATATATAATGCTTATACTGTATATATTGTATGTTTGTTAGTAAAATTATCTTTATATAAGTATACTTGATATGGAATTTATGTCAATCGACTGTTTATGAAAAATACAAGTACTTGTCATGAGATATGTTTGGATAAGTGAGATGAAAGAGAGAGAGAGAGAGAGAGAGAGAGAGAGAGAGAGAGTAAAGAAAGAGAGAATTAAATTACGTTAAAATGTTTTCTTCGCTAATACTTTACATATAATGTATATCTAGTCGTTGACAATGATATAAATCACATGTGAATTATATATTTGCGACAATTTATTGCAAATATTCTTAAGTGTCTAAACAGGGCTTCACTTTATTATATATTTGTTGTGTACACACACTTATAAAAATATCACAATTGTTTTTATAGTATACATAATAACCATTTAAATAATTAAAATACAAATTTTATTAAGTGATACACTAGTATATTAGTTGCTAATGTTATTTCATTAATGGCTTTTATGCTTACTCTCAAATCTTAATAATTTTATTTGTCAGAAATATGTTTATTAAATTAATAATAAATTGTGTGACAAAAAAACTTATATGTTATATTAACCAGTTTTGTATATCAATTTAATTATATTCATATCATTAATTTAGTAGTGTATTTAGTATATATCAATAGTTCAATTTTTTTTTATTATAATACAGTAATATAAATTTATACTATTTCTTATAGTGAAATTTTTTAAAAATCTACATTAATATCTATAGATATATAACTTAATACTGAAATTTGTATAATTAATAAAATTATTGTTAATTATTTGTTTGTTTACCTGAAGATGAAGTGATTCTCTGAAGATATGATAGCTTATTGTCATCGTTTGGTTCAGAATATAGCGATAGCTTTCCATTAAGTAAAGCATTTGTTTGACTTTGGTTTGAATTTTGTTGTTCACTAGTATTGTTTGCTAACAGTTTGAATGGTGTGGTGGCGGCCATTGGAAAGTCATTGACGGCCGGCCACTGAAACGCACCGCCACTCGTGCTGTTTGGCGGTCGCACACCGGCAGCCGCGGCACCCAATTTGCTCGCCCATAGTAAGGGCAACAGAGGATTTGTATTGACATTAACGCTGTCCATTGTCTTGTGATTTTTTGATAAACAATTTTATGTCAAATTGTTAATAATAATAATTATTATTATTAATTCAAATATTGCACTGATATGTCATTTTCATAATAAATTTTGTTTAATGTTAAGAATTTGTAATTTTCAAAACAATTTTACTTTAGTTTTTTCTCTCAAAAATTATTGGTTAACAAAATGAATTAAATTTTCGGGTCCACTCTCTCTCTCTCTCTCTTTCTCCTAATAATCTGTTCATTAATTTTTTTTCTTATTTATCGTCTTGTATTCAGCGGTTAGTTTTGATTAACATTTCAGGTGATTATTACAAGTTTATACCAAAATGAAAGACACTGTTAGTAAAAGGACAGACAGATAAATAAGCAATCAATAGACATATATATTATATACAGTATATAAAATGTTTGTAATTTGTTAGTAATGTCACACATATATTGTGTTTTCGGTCAATAAGTCCTTCGAAATAATTATTTTTTGCTAATTCTTAAATTTTTATTTTTTATAAAAATAATTACTTTTAAGATTGTGTAATCATTAAACATATATACAATATATTGATATATAGTATATCGTTATTACAGTTTATATAATACTTAATATATGAGTACAATGTTTCAGTATTATGACTATTGACTATTGTATTAAATCCTGTATTAACTGAATTAATTGAATTTGTAATTTAGCGCTTTAATTAATATATCATCTGATGCCTAAAATTGAAATTATTTTTTTTAATTTTAAATCTATTAGTCTATAAGTTTACTAAATTAAAAAAAAATTGTAGTAAATCTTTAAAAATTATATTTAAATTTATAATTGACAAAAGTTACAAAAGTATAACTAAAGTATATAATTTATTAGACTATCACTATTTATACAACTATAATTCATAAATATTTATATTAATTAATATAACAATGTAATTATAAAATAAAAAAAACATAATATAACTAAAACTTAAAACAACATTTAGGATAAGTAAACTATATAAATACCAGTTTTAATAGTTTGAAACTTTTTTGAATTATTTCATGTAATTTAATAATAAAATTCTTATTCAAAATAAGATTACTGTATTATATTTTTATTTTAAAAAAAACTTTTCAATTTTTCACTTGAATACTGATTATTATAAATGGATGCAAAATAGTCACATAAAAAGCAGATTATATTTATTAAACATTAGAAACTAAAGCAATAGTTGACTAAAATTCAAAGACATAACATTTTTTTTTAATACAATTATAGGAACTTTTAGATTCTGTTTAAGACAACACACATTTATTTATATATATATATAACATAATTTAATAGTTATATTTATTAGATGAATTTTATATTAATAATAATAATTATTATACAATTTATTTATATTATTGAATAATTGAAGCAAACATCACATTTTTACAAAATTTTAATATAACATTGACTAATATGTGGCACACAATTCAGGTTTCTTTAAAACATATAAATCAATTACTGTTTAAAAATTATTGAATAATTTTTGGTTATAATATATATTAGTTATTATATGTTAGACAGCGATGAGGAGCATCTCTGTTGGAATTATTGGGCAGTCAGTAGTGTATGATATTAACTACCAGAGCGAGCACCGGCAGTTCAGCTCATATAAAGTTTTATACTATTCGGACAATACTTTTTTTGATGTTGTGTTTGGAATAAAGCATTTGAAAGGATAGACTGTTGGAGACTGACTGCCAGAGACTGACTGACGGAGCAGAGGATACCAGTCGAGAGATGTTGAATACAAGTGCTTTTGGAATGAGAGCTAGTGTTGTATGAGATGTGCTGCCTCATCGATGCCAAACATACAACACCAATGCTAACTGTGCCAATATGGGCTGATCATTATGCCAACAGTGCTTCCAATCATAGGAAGCCATTGCTCGCTCATACATATACAGCATATATATCCATATATATATGATATATATGTATGTATGGATATATGCAGTATGTGTATTAGATCGCCCGGTGCTTATATAAACTAGAAAAAAGAGCACTCTTTTGCTTGTATTGAAATTTTTTTTATATATAAAAGAGGAATATATAGTCAATAAACTATATATAAGGTATGAAAACCTCTTTCATACATATTATACATTTGATGGGAAGGCAATAGTCTTTTTTATAGCGCATATGCAAACAACGTTAAGCACAGTTAGTATATGTGCATAGTTAGCGTCATAGCACATATACACACACTTTATATACACTTTTTTATTATTCAGTGTTTAAAGAGTGGGATGGCTTTTATGTGTCGTAATATGCGATCGATATTTGTTTATATAATAAGAGCTCATTTGAATATTTTCCTATAGTATAACATCTATACCTATATATAAATATGCAAAATATTCAACATTATAGTTATTTAGGAAATTAAATAAAAGTTTATTTTTATTAATAAAAATATCTATTTTTGAAAATAATATTTATTTATTAATATTTTAATTACATATTCAGTAAATATATAATTAATAAAAAAATTTTAATATATTTTTTTGATTATTTCCCATTTTTAAAAACTTATTTATATATATATATATGATCTAAGCGTGATTTTTATAGTCGTAAAGTAATTAAATAATAGACATGTTTTTGCTCTTTTCTTTGTATTTATGGTCAGTTATGAAGGCCGGGGATATACAAGTGTACTGTACTTCCCTGGCTAACAGTGCTGTTGTGGCAGTCAAACACTAAAAAGCGTGTAGTCATTGTTTATTTGCTATTAAATAGCAAACGCATTGTAAGGGCAAAACACACACACACACACACACACACATACATACATACATACATACATACATACATACATACATACATACATACATACATACATACATACATACATACATACATACATACATACATACATACATACATACATACATACATACATACATACATACATACATACATACATACATACATACATACATACATACATACATACATACATACATACATACATACATACATACATACATACATACATACATACATACATACATACATACATACATACATACATACATACATACATACATACATACATACATACATACATACATACATACATACATACATACATACATACATACATACATACATACATACACACACACACACACACACACACACACACATACATACACACACACACACACGCATACATACACAGACACACACACACACACATCTCGAGTGTGTGTGTATTAGAGAAGCTAAACGATATCATAAGGTATTGTTATGATTGTTGTTGTTGTTGGCTATTGAGGGTCAGTCATAGTCTGAAACACCGCACACTTTGCCATATCATCACTAATGGCTAATCACTAAATAGGTTTTTACTTTGAAGTTCATATATTTTTGACACTTAAAGGTTATCACAGGGGAAATGTTGGGGACAGGGAGTACTGTGAGTGGCGATAATGTTTATTGTGCAATACATACATACAGTACACACTCACTCACACACATTCACTCACTCACTCACTCACTCACTCACTCACTCACTCACTCACTCACTCACTCACTCACTCACTCACTCACTCACTCACTCACTCACTCACTCACTCACTCACTCACTCACTCACTCACTCACTCACTCACTCACTCACTCACTCACTYACTCACTCACTCACTCACTCACTCACTCACTCACTCACTCATTGTCTCTTTTGGTTAATGTATAGTCATATCATTGCTATTAATGCAATGTATTGAATACAATGAATGTTTGAGTGTATTGTTGAATGTTATAAAACTTATATATCGTTGCAATCAATTTGTTGTCGTTTCTTATGTCTTATAGCTCTCTATCACTGTTTGTGTCTTATGTTTAGATAAAATATTTTCTCTCATCATTAGTCATGCGATGCTCTCGGAGTGGATACCATACATATAAGTGCTAATAATAATAATAATAATAATGCTTTATATTTAGTGATACCAGTGGTAAAGTCAACAATTAACAAATAAACACAAAAATAATCATAAAAAATAACAACAAAAACCAAACAATCAATTGAATTAATATTTATGATTTATATCAAAAAATTTTTAATTGACTTAAAAAAATCATATTTTAATATTAAATAATTTAATTATATTATTCATACTATATGTAAATTTTTAATACCTGTATATAATAATAATTTCTAATTATATATATATAATTTTATTTTCTTAGCAATATTTAATTGTTATAATATACTAATTAATCAGTAATCACAATCTATAACTAAACCCATAAGTTTTAATTATTTACAAAAATATTTTTATTTGCAAATTCACAAATGTTTAGCACAATATAAAAATTGAATTTCAACTATTCAATTGTCAGTTTTATATATATAATTAAATATTAAATTTTAAACTTGTCTCTATCATTATCATTGTTGTAGTTGTAATCCAATATTTTGTGATATCAAACAATTAGTGAGTCCAGTCAATTGTACCATATTTTTGGTTGACTTGGGATAGGGATTATGTTTGTATACTAGAGATATGTCTGTATATGATATGATATGATATGATATATCACAAATTCATTCATAAAAATTGCTGAATGAATGAGTGATTTATATTAAAAACAAAATTATATAACGAGAGAAAAAATAAGTCATGCCTTAAGTCTGGCACTAAATTTAAACAGAAATAATATCAAATAATTTTAAATTGCATAAAACCTCAATAATAATTTAAAAATCAATTTTATATTTTGAATTTTTTTTATAATAAAAATATTGGTTTTGTGGTTTAAAGGTTAGCATAAAATTTAATTTAAATTTTCACTATTTTCACATATATTACTTTTATAGTCAATAATATATATATATATATATTAAATATTTAAAGTATGAGTGAATATATAATAATATTGACGGCATATGAAAATTCAACGGTAGATGTGTTGGCAAATACATATTGTAGAGAAGTACTAATAAAAAATACTATAATAATAATAATATAAAGATGACAATCATTTCCTCCCTACAACACCTCCCTGTGCCCGACAAACACTGCTTATAATTGTGAGACTCAATGATGAAAAGAGAGATAGAAAATAATATTGATTTTTGCATATTATTATACTGATTGACAGTTTGGGTAATCATTAGATTCATAGACTCTCTCTCTCGTGGGATAAAATTGAATAAATTTTTTTGTATTGATATCTATTGCAAAAATTTCTACATAATATATCCTCTCAAACTGCTCACACATGTGGCTCAGCGCTCATACAGTAATATTGGAGAGATGGGGACATACCATACCATTTCACACAATACCTCATGTTTATGCATAATTTGGGTGAACAGCATATAACCAAATCATATACGAGTGACAATAGACTAGTAGGGAGTGATTCCCACAATTATTGTTATTTACTTTCAAATATATATATATATATACTGCAAAATAGATACACATTATTATTATTATTATTTCTATTACTTTTATTTTGGATATCTTATATACAAACTAACCAACAAAAAAAAGTTAACACAAAATAATATTATATCTAATCTTATATTCGCAACAACTTTGGAGGTCTCGTCTCTAATACAGTATAGCTATAGTTTGAAACAGATTTACCCAAAATATTATTACCATATAATCATTTAAACAAAATGTGTTATTTTTTATTATTATTACAAAAAATATTTTATTATTTATAGATATACAGTATATATATATTTATTTATTTATTTATGTTTATATTATATATATATATATATATATACTATATTATTAAATTTGATTGCACATAATTAATAAAATTTACTATTAAGTTAGTGTTTTATATGATTTAATAAAATTAGATCTCATAGAAATTATAATATAAAAATAGTAATTATATGCTTGAATATGGTATTAAATAAATTTACAAATATAAAAATAAAATTCTGATTATAACAAATGTACTGCAAAAACAAGTTGGAAATGATTCATTAAAACAATGATACAGTACTTTACAAATATATAATGTATTTACTTTATTTATTGCATTCAAAATTAAGATGAATATAGATTTAAATAATACAGTCCTACGGTATATATTGTCTATATATAGTAAAACTTTTATCCTCTATGCGCTTCATTTATTAACACAACAGCGCTATTATGTTATGTAGAAAAAGGCCATTAAATGGTTTGGGCGGACAGTCATCGACTAAATACATAGACATTAATACACACACACACACACACTATGTGAGGTATATATATATATATATATATATATGATTGATAATGCATTCATAATATGACATTAAAAAAGTCATGAAAATGATATACAATTAGTAACCTCTTATAATACATTTGATATATCAGACAAATGATAGATATGAATATAATTTGATATTACAATATAATACAGTACTAAACACTAATTATTATCACCAATTAATTAGACAAAACTATTATTAACATAACTATTAAAACAAAATGAATGTATTTTTATGTATAATATTTATTTAATTAATTAACACTTACTTTTATTTAAATTAAGTGTCAAATGCATACCAATTATGCCTACAATATTAATGTCTTATTGTTGTAACTCACCTGTAAAAATGAAAAATCAATATTAATTAGTATTAAATAAAAATCAATTTGTTTAACTTAGTAATTTAAATTTATATGTTGTTTTCAAATAATAAATTCAATAAACTTTTTTTTTAAATTCCAAATTTTTAGTGTTTATGTAAAATATTTTTGTTTGATTCAATGATTTAGTTGATGATTGAGTGAATAAATATAAGTTAGTCTAAACTAGTCTAAAAAGTATGTATATATACAGTATGTATATACAGTATATTTATTTATATATATTAAAAAAGAGAGTTATTTTGAATTTACAGAATATAAAAGCAGAAGCCTTAAGGCACGGGTAGTTGTGAAGAGGATAGGGATGAACTCACAAATTGGATATCCAAAGCATATATTTTGCCCGACAAGACATTTGTAGATTAAATTTTGTGACAAACTATTCAAAAAAATGCAATTCAATTGTGTATTGCATATGTATTTTGTTTGAAAAAAATGTACACAATTTATATGGACTAACAGCCAGTGTGTGTGTATGTGTGTGTTAGGGCTAACAAATTCAACACATAATGCAAATCAATTGTTGTCCACTGATTTGCCATACATTCACTCATAACTCTACTACCATATCATCAAATCTCATGTCAATTCTGCTTATGTATTCTATAACTTACTCACTCTCTCATTCATTCATACATTTACTCACCCACTCACCCACTCACTCACTCACTAACTTCTTGTTTAGTAATATATGAATGCAAAGTTCACAGCAAACAAGGGATAAGTATGTGTTGAATGTGTTTGTATTTTCATACATAATGTTCCTAATATAAAGGTTGTCAGTAATGTTGGCAATTGTATGTCAAATATGCACATATGCAATGACCAGTAATACTATCATCATAAGACACATACAGATATATACAATACAAGTGCTCATATTTTAGTCACATCGATACCAATTTGCAAGGCTAACGGGGTTTAGACATGTCATGCCAGTGCACACATACATACATAAGTTGAATGCGATTTGCGAGGCATACAAAATATAAAGACATTAATATATAAAAAATTGCAAAACATCTTATGTATGTAAACAACTAGAAAAAATAAAAATGAAATTCAATGTATATAATATTTTTTTATGTTTAGTTAAATGTATAACAAAAATATTACAATTTTTACAAACGATAAAAAACTTGTCATTGAATTGCATATTAAAAATCAATTTTTCAAAACAATTGTAAATTTTGGGCTACATAAAGCACATTTTAAAATATTTTATTTTAACGTAAAATACATAGAAAATTGCACAAAAATAAAAATAAACAGTTAAAGATAATTTTGACTTTTTAAAAAATTAATTTTTTAAACAAATATATTCATATAAAATATAGAAATATTTTGTTAAAAATATTGTATATTAACATTTGTATAATATATATATATATTTATATTAAATATTAGATTAAAGATAATGTCATAAATATTATGAATATTCTCTATTTATATTCAGTTGGTATGCAGTGTCTGACACTCGGACCTCAAAACTCAAAGACAACAACTGTCACAACACTTACTACTTATGTATTTATATTATAATAATTCATGTGATGGCAACTGACAGGTCATGTCATGTCAATGGCTAGCTTTGAGCCAAAACAACGGTTTTTATTATTACTTTATTTCAAAGAAATCGATTTGTTTTAAAAAACTAAAGACAAAATGCATTAATAATAAATAATATAGATATAGATATAATAAAAATACATTAATTTTAAAACAATAAATATATTTAGATTCATATTTTTAAAAAATTATAAAAATGTTATTTGTAATATTGCAATTTTCAATTTTCAAATTTAATTTTTTGTAATTTAGTTATTTATTATTAAAAAAAAGATTATTTAAAATATTTTATAAAAACTTGATAATTTTAATAAAAACATAATTATATATTTTACAATATCCTATTTTTAAATTGAATGTAAAACATAATCTCTTTTTATTATTTAATGTTGAAAACATTATATTTTTCATATTAATTTTTTTGAAAATTTATGATAACATATATTTTTAAGGCTACTATTACTTTAGATGAACGACATGTCACACTATATGTCAATATATAGCCGGAGGCAGTGCTAGACATACGTTATGTGAATATTTGTGAACAAAATACATATATTTGTTATATAATATAAAAGAAATGATAGAAATTTATGTTTTTTAGTGATGAAGTTTGTGACTGCAAAAAAATAGTGAACTTTGTTATTGACTTTATTATTTTATTTTACTTTATTATATATATATATAATATTATTTACTTTATTTTTATTTTATTTTTTAATTTAATATCTTATGTGAACCACTTGAACATATGTGTGTACATCATATGCCAATTTACTTTTGCTCTCTTAAAATATTGGTGTTAAATTGTATTTATATTTTTATTTGTTTAATTTATAATTTTTTTTAAATTTTATTTAATAAATAATAAAATAATTTTTTTAATATAAAGTTATAACAACAACAAAAAAGTAAATATAATAATAAAACATTAATATCATTATTAAAATTTCATATATTTTATTAAATTTTGTAATTTTGTAATTATTTACTAATAAAACTAATAATATTAGAGTAATCTATGTATTTAAAAATAATGTAAAGCAAATCGATATACAATATTAAATTTACATTATATACTGCATATACAGTATATATAAAAAATTAAAGACAATATGTTTTACACCTAATCATTATGAAATCATTACCGGTGCTCATTATACACGCATCGTATCAAACAAATAAAAATTTTAATGTATATTTTTAGTTTCATGTTAATATACTATTTTTTTAAAAATTATTTATATATATATATATATATATGTAAATATAAATTTACTAAATTAATATATATATAAATGATTCATCTATTTTTACTAAATTATTAATTTAAAAAATAGATAATTTTATAAAATTGTAACATTTGAGTCAAGGTCAAGTTATGTGATAAATACAAATATAATATGAAAAAAAGAAAAGTGTATATTACTTTAATAGATATATATAGCAAAAAATACAATACAAAACTAAAAGCAAAGCAAAAATAAAAACAAATTATCACAATTTGAGTGCAAATATTAGCACAAATCAAGTTTGTTTTAAGCGCTGACTATAATAAAATAGATTTTGAAGAGTCGTAACAAAAAAAATAGGACTCAAACTATAAGATAGTATTAATCACCGAAACAATTGTTGTAAAGCAAAAGGAAATTAGCAGAGAATTGTATGTTATTTTCATATGTGTTATACCAGAACTCTGTACTACCAGTGCTCTACTGTTCACTTTCTATCATCAGATTGTGTGGCACTCGATATGTGTGTCCATCAGTACCATTACTATTGGTGATCGTCAGAGAGAGAGACAATAAAAGAGTGGAAATGGATTTTCGGTATTTGTCTTTTAGGAAAATTAACCGACAAAATCAACATTAAGTATATATTCACAGAATATTTATTTTGGCGTCCAATGAAAATATATGTATGGTATGTGCAAAAAGCGTCACCATTTGATTACAATAATTATGGCCCACATATCCACACTAACACACACACACACACACACACACACACACACACACACACACACACACACACACACACACACACATACTTACAGTATATATATTTAATAGACAACTTTCTGTAGGAAATAGTCAATCACTGGAAGATTCACTTAATATTACGGTTTGTATCGAAAGTCAGACGCAAATAAATAAAGTGAAGTTTGAAAAAAAGAAAGCATTAGAGAGAGAGAGAGAGAGAGAGAGAGAGAGAGAGAGAGAGAGAGAGAGAGAGAGAGAGCTTAAAAACAATGTATTATCAGTGGTCCATAAATATTATGACTTTTCAATGAACGCATGCATAACGTGAATATCAACAGTTGTTTTGTGTGAATGGCATAGATATAAATGAAATGACAATAAAGGTATCGCATGTTTGCATTGACACCGCATAGACATAACTACTACTTCTTTTAATATATGATTATTAGGTTTATTATATGTAAGGTTAACGTAAATATTGAATTTAGTTGTGAATAGGTTTTCGATATGATATGTCATATTAATGTTCATTGATATAACATATTATCCATATATTATATATGTATTCAAGTCTTTTATGTTGAATATATACCTATTTTGTTATAATAAATAATATGAATGTTTTGAATATGTATGTAATAGACTTCTGTCTCTATTAGGGTCTAACAAAATGCATATAATATGCTTATATCACGCAAACAATTGCCGACACAATCGTATAACGTTTATTTATTATAATATTCTGACTTAATATTTATAATATATTATATGTATATAATGTTTGATATATATATATACAGACAATTTATTGATATTAATGTGTAACTCAATATCAATAAAAATATAATTTATTACTAATAAAACAAATTTCAGTTATATTAAACTATATTTTTGATTATCAAACTAAATAACTATTTATAAAATTACAATATGTTTATTTAATTGATTTTTTGATTTAAATATTTAATTTTAATAAATATTCATATTATGATTGATTAAATACAAATACATTTAGTTAATATATATATATATATATATTTAATTGTATAAGATAATTTATTTTTAACTAAACATATTATTTTAATTTAAAATATTATTTAATTATAATAATAAATTATCAAATTGTATTTTGATAAACAAAATATCAATATATAGCCCAAAAAATAAATAAATGACATTTTATTATAATATAACATTTTCAGTTTTATGTTATCATTATTTTTTTGAGTAATTATTAAACTTATATTTTAAACTTTTTACTTGTAAAATAATATAGTATCAGTAAGTAATAATTTATAATAATATATTAATATAATAAAAATTATCTTTTTTTTGTTATTTTCTCAATTGACTTCATATGTCATCAGAAAATACGATTATTGTCTGCATTTGACAACATTTGTCATTGTTTTTAACATTAAATTAATTTTGATCGCAGACTAAGGCATCAGTTAATCATATGAGTGCTATTTAAGTTGTATTACAAGACAATCATATAATATAAGTTTTGGACATCTTTTAGATTACAGACAAGCGTTAATACAGTACAATATACAGTACAGTAGTGTATGTTATATACAGTTAAAGTTTTAATAGTTAGCAGTATATGATGGCCTGTAGAGGACTGAACCAACACATCATTGATATGACAGTAACGGAAGTTCTGGGACTTGTTATTATCAAAATGATGGACCCATTTATATATACTGTATATAATGTATAGTAGTTTCATACATATATATATATACTGTTGATGTGGAGGACACCACTAATAGTTCACATATCGTATATACACTTTCATGTTATGTCTCTATAAGTACTTATATTTTTATCAAAAATTAGTGATACAATAGTTGGTACAGAGATTTTGCCGGTTTCTATGTTGTGTTTACACTCCAATGGATACCATTATAATTTAGTCGACACTTAATGAAGAAAAATTTTAAGAGACAATATTAAAGACATCGTATTTTCACCAGAAAAATGCATTTTCATGTAAGATATTATTTTGTATGAAAATATTGTTTAAATGTTTTTTTCATAAATGAGTTAACTTTTAGAGATAGTTAATGACTTATATTTTTGCTTTTACTAATAATTATATAGTTTTATATGATTTATATTATGAAGAAAAATTATTACAACATTATGTATTAGCAAATTATTTTATAGCTTATCAAAGTTTTTTTTTCTCTTTCTCTCTGTTATTGTCAATAAATTTTGATATCCGGAAGACAAGTAATTTTATCAATTTTTCTAACTTATAATCTTATTGTTATTATAATTTAATATACAGTTTAATAGCATATGCTATAAAATATTGTATTTATTTATTAAAAATTAATAATAAAGATTTTATAATTTTTAATAGTGATAATATAAATACAAAATATTTTTGACTTAAATTTAAATAAGATTTTCTATTTTATAACATATTGATTAAAATATGATATTTTTTTAGTTACAGCAATTGAATCAGACTAACTAGATCAGTTTATTGTTTATTGCATAATAAATTAAATATACAGAAATATTGTTATGCCCTCTAATATTGAATATGAAATACAGTAATTGTAAAATTAAATAAAACAATAAAACATATGAATAGAATGTACAATATATATAACTTATAGTATATAGTCATATATCACACATACATATAAATAAATTAATAAAGAAATAACTGTATTTTCCTATGAAAATACAGTAACCAAATAAAATAACATGAAATTTATTGATACCTTTGGGATTGTTTGATACTATTTCTAGTCGTAGGCTAACATTGTCTGCATATAATACTATGTATATTCAATATAAATGCATAGACTCTATAAGCCTAACATAAACATTACAATACTAGTCATCGATTTGAATGGTAATACCAATTGTTGTGTTAGTTTTAACTCTAGTACTCCATCTGCCAAACAAAATGTTTAAAATTTTTATTCACTTATAGATTGAATATACAGTATATTTATCTTAAATCAAATTTTATTATTTGTAATTTAATACTAATTTTAAAGAATAAATAAATATTTATTCATTAAGTAATTACTTGATGAATAATTTGATTAAATAATTAACGAACTAATACATTAAATTCAGATTAGATGTATTAAAACGTTATCATTATTTTAACTTATAATAATGTATTGCATAAATATTAAGCAAATTAATGTCAATCGAAAATTAATTGCATTGCTATCACTATTACAAAAATCAATTGGCATAATATGTATCAGTTCTATATATATATACTGTATATAAAGTATTATATACAGTATATACTGCATAGTTAGAGATAGACGTTGAATATACCGACACCTAAAGCAACCAAAATCTCATTAATGAATTAACACATCACTCGGTTAGCACATACACACAGTTATACTGTGTGTATATATATATATGATGTCTATTGTTAGGCATTACTTTTTTATTATATCTCTCATTTGGGCATTTAATTAACCGATTGCCCAAATAACTAGCAAACTATTTAATTAGAGTCAACCATATATTTCTCGTGCAATTAATTTAATTGATTTTTTCCACTTTTCCTCTCTCTCTCTCTCTCTCTCTCTCTCTCTTCACTATATAATTAATCGTCAATTTTATTGTCACATATTATCATTTTCTTGTTGTTGTACTGAACTGTGCTTAACATTATAACAAAATACAATATAATAATAATAATACAGGTAATTTGAAATTTCTAGTTATTTGTATTTTATATGTTTATAATTTACTATTAAAAAAGATATTTATAAAATAAAACTAAATACAATGTTTTAATCATAGAACCGTTTATATATATATATATATAATAAGTTATTTAATGAAACTAATATCTTATCATAAAAAATGTTATCTAATTTAATATCAAGATTTGGACCGTAAGTCACACTAACATTTCGCCTCATTTAATATAATTCACACAAATATCTTATATTTTCTCATTTGTTTTTATTTATGTTTCAATACATTACTAGTTTTTTTTGGTCAATCATTTTATTGGTTACCAAATCTATCGCTTCATTAATAATCTCATAAACGACTAAATTCTTAATAATATTTTATACAAATGTCAAAAACAATAAAATAAAATATTGTTTGCTATTAATTATTGAATTCAATAAATTACAATTTGTAATTTATATGACCAATAATTTATTATGTTTTTAATATAAATATCTAAATGGATTATAATTGAAGTCACAAAAAAACAAAACAAAAATCTGATTAAACATAATTCATATATAAACTAAAGTAAATGAGTAGTAGACTAAATATATGTTGATATAATTAATCTAATTTAATATTTTCAATTTAGTAAATTTTAGCAATAATTTTACCAAAAAATAAAATAAAATGTAAGTTAATATTGTATTAAATAAGACTAAAGAAATAAAAATTGTAATGATTTATTTATAAAAGTCATTATTATAAGTTAATTGTTATTATAAGTCAAGTTTTCCTTAAGCAAACTAATAGTATATCATTATAGCAAACTATATTAATGAAATATTATATAAAATAGTCTTTATAACACATATTTTAATGTCAATATGTTATCGTTATGATAATAATGTTAGTTATTAAATATATCTCGATTTTAGTAATGTTTAAAACACGCCACTTAAATATGATTTTTTAAATAAATATAATGATTATATATGGTAATAAAAATTTATAAGTTGAATCTAATTTTAAATTTATTGATTGTTTGTTTGTTTAAATTGAGTGCTTTATGTTTAGAGATGATCTAAAAAATATCTAAAAAAATAATCAATGAAATTGTTGGCTATTTATTATTAGTAATGATAAGCACATTGCGTGAGTGCTATCATTGAAAGTCTTATTATTAAAAGACTCAATGTTTTTATTATTTAGTACTTATAGTACTGTACTGTCAGTGCATTAACTGTAAGTGCGGTTTATAATAACAAAAATTATATTTGAATACTTCATATACTGTATAATACTGTATATGATAACTAATATACTGTACAATACTATATATAAAAACAAAATCATTTAATTAATCGCACATTTATTGTCCATTATGATAACTATATTGATATAGTTAAGCCATTAATAAGATATTTTTATTTTTTGAATTTATTTATTTAGTAAAAAAAATAAAATATTTAAGATTTAATAAAGATATAAAAATAGAAAATAATTGATAAAAATAAAGAGATCCCAAAAATATTATTTTATCACTGAATAGAGAGTTGAATTGAATCAATTAAATTCCCGATCAATAAGTTTAGCAATTGTGTTGAGCTGTATGTTAGACGTGCCCTCATATATGGCCCCTATCTTACAGTCCCGATAGTACTTCTCAATTGGGAAGTCGCGTGTAAAGCCTACACCGCCCAACCACTCGACCGCTTTGCTGGTCGTATGAGTGGCCACTTCGGCTGCATAATACTTGGCCATTGCAGCCTCTTTAGTAAACGGTAGGCCAGCGTCGCGAAGCCGAGCCGCGTTGTAGACCAAAAGTTTGGCCGATTCAATACGGGTAGCAATTTGGCTGATCTGATGCTGCATTGCCTGAAAGTCGAATATTCGACGACCGAACTGTTTTCGGTCAAACGTATATTTGACGGCCTCCTCAAAGCATCCCTCAGCCAAACCAAGCATTTGGGCTCCGATACCGATTCGGCCGATATTCATTGTATGCATGGCATACTTGTATCCCTGGCCAATGTGACCGACCACCGCACTGGTCGGTACCCGAACGGAGTCAAATATGACTGGACAGGTACTAGAACAGCGAATGCCCAGTTTGTCCTCGGCTTTGGCCACAGTCAGGCCGGGAGTGTTTCGCTCAACAATGAAACACGTGATCCCTTTATAACCGGCCTCTGGATTGACATTTGCAAACACGACAAAAACGTCGGCCTCTTTTGCATTAGTGATCCACTGTTTGCTACCATTGATTACATAGTAGTCGCCATCTTTAACTGCCATTGTTTTCATAGAAAAAGCATCGGATCCGGCATTAGGTTCGGATAAACAAAATGATCCGACGGTGTCTTTTGCCAGAAGTGGCAGATATTTACTCTTTTGCTCTTCAGAACCAAATGCGTTAAGTGTTTGGACAACGAGTGTGCTGTGAATACCGACAAAAGCACTGACCGCTGGATCTACTTTTGCCAACTGCTCGATAACGAGCATCAATGAGAAGAATGTACTACCGGTGCCATCAAAACGATTCTCTATATTGACAGACATGAGACCATTTTCAAAGAGAGAGTCGATAATAGTTTTGTCCAATTTTGATGTTTCATCCATTTGTTTGACTAGTGGTCTGATCTTTTCATTTGCCAGACGTTTAACAATCTCTTGGATTTCAATCTCTTCATCTGAAAGCCGTGTCAATGGTATGGCTAATGGTTCAACAGTTACCGACTCTTTCAATATTGGACACGAAGGAGACTGACTTATTGATGATAATGTGTTGAGACCATTGCGTAAAGTAATCATTTGTGAAACAACTCGCAAATGGGTTAAGAATTTGTTTGAGACAAACATTTTTCAATAATAAAAAAATACTTATTTTTCAACAAATTTAGAAAAATTAATATAAATTTAGCTAAAATTCAATTATATAGTAGTATATTGAATACCAATTGAAAAATGTCTCTTCGTTTGTAAAAATACAGTACTATTAATAAATGAAAATTTTAGTTACTATTGATTATGGGTTTCATACAAATTTCAGTTATTATTATTCTACAGGTTTTAATATTTTTTTCTTAATTAAAATCAATTAATAAATTAATTTGACAATTATAATTAAGCCAGTAGATTTGATTATTTATTTATCAATATTATGTAAATTAATTTTGTTTCTAAAATATCGGTAATTCGGTTAATTGGTCAAAAATCAGTCATTTATTTTAATGGAAATAAGAAAATACCCAATGGATGTGTGGACTCTGAACTTTAGACCCAAAAACAAAACACAAACAATTTATACTTAAATTTTTATTATTTATTATATTATAGATTTAATTGCAAACCTGAGAGACAATACAGTAATTCCCGTTTCGCCTACACAGCAGTGTATATATATATATATCACCCACTGGTCTCATATTAATGATATTTAATATTCTTATAATCTCTAATCCAATTGCTAATTAAAAGTGATTTATTAATCAATTTGAAATATATTTACTATTGATAGGATAAATATCCAAGATAACATAGTAGTATTGAAAAAAATCAATTAGTTTGTAATACTGTATATATATATTAATTTAGGCGTTTTTTCAAACGTTATATATTTTATCTATTTTGTTTTATAATATTACTATGCTAATTTATTAATTTTAAATTTATGAATTTATTTTTATCTGTCAAAACAAAATTATTAATATTTAAAATCATATTTAAATTTGTAACATTTTGAAAATGAAATAACATAATAAAAAAATTAAATATAAACAATAATTTTTAATAAATAATAAATTTGAATTTCAAACAGTTAGAGTTTAATTACAATTATTATTTTGTCCCAATAGGTAAATAAAGTAAACATTTACATATACTGTACAATATTAAACACTATTAAACTGTATATTTGTGATTTGATAAAAAAATGTAAAGTCAATTTTGATGATTTTAATGAAGGTCATAAAGTGCACAAAATGATTACTATTAATAAGTGTTAAATTATTAAAATTATTTTCAATTTCTAAAAAAAATAATTATAATTATATTCTCAATTATAATAAAATTATAAAAAAATCAAACAAATCATTAAAATATCATCATAAATATACTATTACATAAATATCAAAAGTGGCTTTTATAAAAATTAATTATATTGAAATAAATGTATATATAAATTAATACTGTATATATTTCTAATTAAATTATAGTCCAAATGAGCTTTTGTTTAAAATTATTAGATAACATATTAATATTAATAATAGTTTTGTATATTAAAAATATGTATTGTTCAGAGAATCACTATTTGGAAAAATTATGGGTCATATATGTTGTGGTTAAATGAGATGTTAATGCTATTAAATGTAATTTATTTATGTATTCGCCCATAAAATACTAATATTAATGGCTTGTATTCATATATATATATAAATTGAATGCACATTTAGATATTAAATATTTCTTGTGATATATATATATATATATATATATAGTAAAGTATATGTTTAACATATTATGTTATACTGTAGTATTGTAATGATAAAAATAATGGTAGCAAAAATGTAATATTGTTGTATTCATTTTGCTAGTAAACAAAACAAAACAAAAAACTAATATACAGTATAAGTATGCAATGCTATGCATAATGATGTATCAAATACAGTGTAGTCTAACAGACTATATATAGTTATCATGAAATATCCTAAACGATAATAAGTATAGTAATGATTAGAAATAAAATACTACAAAATGAATATACTGTAATGTATACATGTTTATAAAAATGTTTTTTAATTATAAATATTTATAGTCATTCATTAGAAAATATGTATTTCTATATACAGTACATATCGTTTGTAATTTTAGCAAACAATCCAAATGAAGGCTTAAATATACAATTTTCTAATATAGTATATATTATATATATTATTATAATCATATATCATATGTACTTATAATAATAATAATAATCATTATTGTCTCTAAGGGCTTAATAGGTTATAGACTCACCAAAGTATAATAATGTGCATTATAAAATATTTACAGATAGTTGTATAAATTTATATACATTATAATGTATGTCATATTAATCATAAAAATAGTATTATTTTAATTACAAATAAAAACAATATTATGTCGTTAGTATTATTTAGTTCAATAATCAATATAAACATTAATTATTCGGCTAATAATAAAATTATTAACAATTGCTGAACTCATGTCATATACAATAACTTTATATAATATACAGTATATTTAGTATAATATAAATTTATATATATATATATATATATGATATTAAGTCTATAGAGGAGATACTCACTAAATGTTTAAACTAATACAGTATGATGACAATATTTATAATATTGAAAGCATACAATAATAATAATAAAAAATTATATTATATTATAAGTACCTTTCATAATATATATCTACATATAATATATATATATATATATATACTGTATATAACATTAAACAATAGAAAAATATTATTGCTATATTGTTAAACAAAGTCTTATTTATAGCAAACATTAAATTCAAATAATTTTATATTAATCACATAAATTAAATGTTATCTTGTTTTATGTATAAAAACATAAACTATTTCATTAAAGTTAATGTTTTAAGTTTATTATGTTTTAGTCTAAATAAAATTATAAATAAAAATATAATAAATTTTCATCTCTGTATATCTAAATATAATATATATATATAATATAATAATCAAATTATAAAATATTATAAATATGTTTATAATAAAAATTAACAAAAAATTAGTTTATGAACTTATATATGATATCAATTTTTAATATTGTGTGAAATGCAATAATTTAATTTGTTATATATATTTTATTTTTTATATGTTTGTACGATAATTATGTTATCATTTATCTGATGATTAGCTACTCTATCATCTAATGACATGATTTAAAAATAATTCATTGGATTTATCGCTAATTTTGTTCTCATAAATGGTTAAAATAAAGATATTATCAAATAAACAAAATTTAATATAAAAATACAATATTTAAAAATGTTAATGTCTTATTATTATATTTACTTAAATTATTAACCTATTTAATTTCAATAATTGAAGCTGCATTTACAATAATTGTAATTATTATAAAATTAAAATTAATTTTATAATTTCCTTTATTATAAAAAAAACCAATAATTAGTTCGATATTAAAAATGTAATTATTGGCTAATCTCCTAATTAAACAAATTATACAATTCATGCTAATTTATAAATGTAAATAATTTAAATAAAATTAATATTAACAATAGTTATTGTTAATATTAATTTTATCTAATAATAGATAATAAAGAGCTTAAAACGAATGGATGATTAATAAAATAAAATAATAAAAAATGAGTTAAAAATTTCAGATAATACAAAAACTATATTTCTTATCGACATCCAATATAAAAGTAGATTTATAGGTATATATAAATATACAGTTTGTAATATACTGTATAAATAAGTTTAATTTTAAAATAACCAAAAAAGACTTGTTTTTTTAAATTTTAAGTTAAAAAACTTGAATCAAATTTTATATTATTATTAAATTTCTTTTAATGTTTACAGCATATATAACTTAATTATAGAAATGTTTTTAAAAAAATAAATTAAATTTTTAGTAATTGTTTTTTTGCTTTCAACAAATAGGAAAAAGCTAATATATTATATATATATATATAAACTTTAAGGATAGGTTTGAATTTCCTTAGCAACAAATACAGTACAACACAAACATTATAAATACAATTTCTATTTAATTAACAACTTTATTGCCAATAAATTAATTATAGTCACTATCGACTAATGTTGTTTAGTGCATGTGATAATCGTTTTAAACGATATTAGATATAAACATATCATTTAAGTATATTAACTATTATATAACACTGTATTTTTTACAGTATAATAATAATAATGATGATAATAATATTTATTTTATTTGAATGCTATTTTAATTGAATTTAGTATATGATATAATACAATATCTAATAAATAATAGTTATTTGTGATTATAAACAAAAGCTTTGTAAATATGTCTAAATTAAAATGATATTTATTGTTCACAAAATTTTTAAATGTTTCATATAATATAATAGCAAAGTTTCATAACAAAAACTATTAGTTAGTTAATTGGGTTTTAAAAATGAATAATAAAATTTATACGTATTATTACAGTAATTATTATTAGTTTTTAAAAATACATTTTAATTTATATAATATTACTTCAATATGAATCATGTATCTCAATTATATAATATATATATAAATATATTGTAATTGTAAACAAAATTGATAAAACTATTGTTACTTTTGTTTATTGATAAGATTTGCTATAATATTAATAGTGAAAATGTGTTTATTATTTGTTATTTAAAAAAACAGTTTAAACATTCAGTCGACTGAATGATAGATAAGCTGATAATATAGATACTCAGTATACTGTACTCTACTATAATATACAGTATATATACTAAGAAATAAAAATCTTAGAAAAATAACCTTATCTTTTGATTAGATATATTGTCAATGATTTTTGATAAATAGTTTTAGTATATAAATTAAATACAAAAGTAGTTATAAATATAATATTTGTATTTTTGTCGTATTTTTAAAAAATAGTTCCTTATTATAGCAAATAAAAAAAATTTAAATAATAAATAACAACAACAACAGTACAAGACTTGAAAAAATACTTATGAAATCGTATGGATATGAAAAACATCGGTTTGTTGGTCTGACTGAACCAGAATCTCAAGAGTTTACGTGCGGAATATGTTTGGGAATATTCTGTGAGCCGACAGTAGTTCCCTGTTGTCGACAAACCTATTGTTACGGTTGTATTAGTGAATGGCTTAGTAATAAAAACTCGTGTCCTAATGATCGACAGGGATTAACGGCATCGCAATTATATTATCCGCAAAGATTAGTCATTAATCTGTTGGCAAAACTGAAAATTCATTGCAATTTTCAAAGCAATGGCTGTCAGACTGTACTTGACCTGGAAATTCTGGCCTCACATGCGGACAGTTGTCCGTATAATCCCTACCGACGGTGCAGTGTATGTGATGTCCTAATTGTTAAATACATAGACGAAAGTCAACAGTTTAATAGCTTAACATTACAATCGTCTGAATTATCCCATAATTGTATCAATAGTTTGAAAAACTTAAATAAAAGTCTTGAAAATGAAATATCGGAATTGAAATGTGAAATATCGAAACTCAAGAATCACATCAAGAAGTTAGAGGAAAGGCATGTATTAAGTGTTGTCGGCGACACTCAAACCGTGAGTTTCCTATTTATTTATTTTTTTGGATATCATATTTGTGTTTTCACTTTTGGTGTCTCCTATTGTCCACTACTATATCGTTGTCTGTCTTTTCTTTTAATAGTCATTCACTGTTTGTTTTGATAGCCATAGCCTTCGTCATTGACCTTCAATATAATTGATATAATAGAGGCGTTTATGTCTTATTTGTCTCTCACTCACTACTCACTCATTTTATCTCTTTTTTCTCAATGATCTTTCACTCACTCACTCACTCACTCACTCACTCACTCACTCACTCTCATTGCTCTCTAAGTCCACTAAACTGTTTATAGACGTTCATAGATGTGTTGTGTATATAGACATATAGTATATACTGTATATAAAATATAATATGAGTATATATACTGTATTTATATATATATATAAGTGTTTTACTCATTAAAGGATCACATTTGGCAAGTGATGGCTTCCGCCCGAACGAGAATTAGTTATCCAGAAATCACTTACTGTTCACTTCCATCACAACTAAGACTCAAAGCTATCAACAAATCTAAAGAAGCGATTCTAGCCTTTGATTCCTATCAAGAGATCACACAGTTTTTGAGTCAACAATTTAATTGTCAAACAAATAATAATAATAATAATAACGATAATAATATTACAACAACAACTACTACTACTATTACTACTACTAATAATTGTTTAATTAAATGGCAAGTAATAGTACATTCAGTAAATTGTGGTTATCAAACAATTATCACCGCAAACGCATGGATTGTACTCAGATTTGAACAGTTAAGGATTGCCATCTTTACAGACAATATTTTGTTTTAATTAATCAAATAATTATAGTAACAAACATTACAAAATTTATTGCGACCAACTAATTAAGATTACATAAAAACTTATGTTTTATACTAATATTATTAATATATACAAAATAAATTTAATAAATTTTATTATATAAGTTTATATATTAATATATATATATATATATATATATATATATATATATATATATCAGATTATATATGCTTGACATTATAATAATTTATAAATAATAATGATAATAATAAAACTTTAATATTATTTAATAAAAAATTCTGTTCACATAAAGTGAATAAAGAATTAGATAATAAAAAGAGAGATACCATAAGTAAGATAAGTGTCACCAAAAAAAAAGTTAATGAGAAATACTGTATGTCTGTGTGCCTAACGATTCAATATATATATATATAAATAGTGAAGAAGACATTCAGTAATATAATGAAAATAGATTTTTATAAAGAATATACAGTATATACTATATAATAGTATATAAAAAAATGTTGTATAATAAGTACCAGTAGTGGCCATTATTGGCAATGAGTTTGGTCTCAACTGAAAAATATAGCTTTTCATATCCTGTATATGCAATCATCACTAAGTCTCTCAATGTCTGACTTTTGTGATTCATAAATCGTATGACCAGTGCTTAAATATACGGTATATACCAATATATAATGTACAGTATATACTATAGTATGGATAGCTGTAGTGCCAGTGCCCGACACATCATCAATGCTATAAACGTATGGTACAGATTGAGAGAATAGTAATGATGACCCAATGCTATTACAATGCAAACCATAGTTATATATATATTGGGTCATTCAATAAAAGCCTAATCCCTTTACTGTAGCACTGTTACCAATATTATGTATATGTTTTATATATATATAGTATATTATTCTAAACATAGATTACATTTGACCAAATATCCATATATATACAGTAATCGCATAAAATAGTTAATCATTGATAAGATAATATTAAAGGACTTAATGTTTTTTTAGTATTGAGAGTAGTATTGACCACAAGTTCATACATGAAATAGGCGTTTACCCAAATTGTCCACTAATTTGGTTAAACTCTTTTAAAAACAAGACTTAATTATTATTAATTTAGATTAAATATATAAACGATTCCTACAAATACATCAATTATATATATATATAATCTAAAAAACAAATACTATATTATTTATAAATAAAATATTAATCCAATACTAAAATATAGTTAAAGGGTTTTATTTGGAAAATTTAACATTAAGTAAGATTAATGATAAACTTATTTTGAAAATTTAATGAGATTTTCTTTTAAGTTTAAAACCTTTTTGTTGGAAATTAGGAAATATGAAAAATTTGGAAGAAATGATATTTTGTGTTAAAAAAAACATTGGAGTAAAAAGTTTTTCGTTTAAAATAAATGAATGGATTGTATTGAACACAACACACACAACACTATACCTAATATATTGTTAAAGTATTCTAAAAAAACACAGAAAAGAAATACAAGAAAAAAGTTTTTTTAGTTTTAAATTGAATTGAAATGAATGGTCAGCTCTGGTATTACTGTATATATATTGAAAGTTGTCCGCAATCTCTCTCTCTCTCTCTCTCTCTCTCTCTCTCTCTCTCTCTCTCTCTCTCTCTCTCTCTCTCTCTCTCTCTCTCTCTCTCTCTCTCTCTCTCTCTCTCTCTCTCTATACTAATACAGTATTAAAGCCGAAATATATTTCAGACATTATAACGACAGACATTGAGTTACACATTGTGTACGTTATTTGGAGAGTGAGAGAGATTGAGGGGATGTATAAGCAATAGGGAGAGGAAAGACTCTGATTGCAAATTGTAGGGCAAAAAGCCCTAAATGAGAGACTGATGTCTAGCCGGCAACTAACGTGACGTCCATCTGCTCCCTCACTACTAACTCATATATCCATTGCCTCTCAGACTCAGTCACTCTTATACATTGTAATAGCGATGGAGAGCGTTGGCCAACAGTTAGAGTACAGTAATCATTGTCACAACACATCTACACTACACTAAGGCTATGGCTTTTGCTATTTACCAGCAATTGTATCAACACATCAAACAATATAACACATATATCTATAATAAGTGAACTCTCAGAGTAACTACAATTTATGTGACGTTCAAAATGCCTATTAAGTAATATTTCACTGACTTTTAATTTCAAACTCAAATATTGTGCGCCAAAACAAAACAAAATTTAATAATCTATAATATTATGCACTGTTGTTGTTATTGCCAATTATAATACAGTATAAATTTATGTACAGTACAGTATAATGTATATTAAGCACAGTTAGATGATTACTTATATGGTTATACTGTGCAATATATACGGTATATGCCGTGTAAATTCAGAGAATGTGAAAATGTTTTAGTATTGTATATATAAGTTAAATAAAATTAGACTTTTTTCAGACAAATATTACAGTTTATATCTCAATATTTGACAACCAATTCAAGCAAACAAAATGCCTGTCCCTCCAGTTTCCACTTTTTATTAGCACAAACAGTAAAACCACACTACTGTTTAGCATTTTTTCATCAATATATATATATAACACATTTTTGCACTTTTATTATATCTAAACCAAAGATTATATTTAAAGTAATATATGTAGTGCCCATTTGGACAGTCATGTATCGGGCACTACACAGAGAAAAAAGTCAAACTAAATTTACTATATATATATATTTGTGTCTAAATTCAAACACATAACACAACTATTTTCATAATACAATTCATTTTATTTATATAATATGTCAAATATTCTCAATATCTAAGCACTGGTCATACGTACTGTTTGAACAACTATTGGTCTCTTATCAGTTGGACTGAGATTTTTTTGATGATTGCTCGGACACATTCAACTGACACTAAAGTATATATATATATATATATATATATTGTTCAGATATTTGGAAAAAAATTCATTTTATCTACTTTACACCAATCCTTATATTATTATTATTATTAAGTTTATAAATTATATTATTTGACTAAATTTGTATTATATAAATATATTTTCAACATTTATTGAAAAATTATAACAAAAATAAATAAATATAGAAACTGTAAAAGAATAATAATAATATTTTTTTTATATTTATTTATTTGCTATATTAATTTGATGGGAGATTATTTATTAGTAGAATAATTGTTTAAAAGTACAGTTAGTATAGTATAGTATAAACAAACCTATCAAATAATAGCAGAAAGCCTAAGCAATGCTCAGGGATGGCAAATCAATCGATTAAAAGGTCAAGTTTCAGGTAAATATACGTTTATAAATACAATATATATATATATATATATATATAGCTGAGTTATTGTGCCGATCCAATGAAATATAATACTTAATAGCAATCATATTATAACACATTTGTGATGGAAAAGTAAATCTGTTGGGAATATTCACATCACATCATATTTGCTATACGTTTGCCTCTTATATGTCGGTGTCATAGGAATACATATATGAGGCAAATGATTATACTTTTATGTATTTGTAGATTAAACAAAATAAATGAGAGATTATTATTATTATTATTATTATTATTATTATTATTATTATTATTATTATTATTTATTCAATAATGTATTTCGTATACTGTATTATGAATAAAAATGTAATATTGTCATAAAAACTTGGATTATAACTTTAAGTAGTCATTTAAAATAATTTATTATTTAAACTAATATATGATAATATATAAAAATAAACCGACATTTTTTCAATTTAAGAATATAAAAGCTTCTAATTATTTTATTTAATTTCTTGTATATTCATTGATTTAAATAAAATAATATTTATTAAATAAATATTTTATAATATTTTATAATATTTTATTTTTAATAACTATAATTAATTAAAATTTACTGTATTATTAATATTCTTATATAAATAATATTTTTATTCATATTGTATATACAGTGTATAATATACTAGTCATTTAATTCAATTAAAATAATAACAAATTATAGAAATTGTATTTATAATGTTTAGAATAGTCAATATGTTGGTTTAAAATTGTAAAATATGTTTATATTATAATAAAATATTACTGTATAATAAAGTGCAATTAATAACTAATTTGTATGTCTTATTATTCATTAATAATGTAATTAACAAGCATTTGTTTGTTCTCTAAATATATTTTCATTAATTGGCATCAAAAAATTATTGGCAATTTTTTAATTAAAATTAATTAATATAGAACTGGTTGACTATTTTTTTTTTGAATGAAGGCTCAGTTATCTACCAGTGCTCAGTACACTGACAGTACTCTTCAACTTTCACATTGATTCAACACAAATAACTTTTATATTAATCATAAATAAATTATTTTAAATACAGTATTAATATTTTATATTATAAAAAAATCCAATTAATTAGTAATAAAAATCAATAATGTATTAAATAAAACTATTGTGAAAATTAATAAACAAATAAAAAGTCAATTGAAGACTATAAATTGATAGTACAGTAAAAACAACAACAAATTAAAATTAATTGATAAAAAGTAAGGATTTAGAAAATGAAAAAATTTCAATGTCATGTATTATTTGTAAATTTATAATAATATACTGTATAATAGATTAGATTATTGATTGACACTATCAATGATCCAATATTAAACTATGCACTTATGTTATAATATGAAACATTAATATAAAAATTAGAAAATTGATTTAAAGAAAACATCAAAATCAAATACTATACAGTATTAAATAAATAGTAAAACTTTTATTTAACAAATCATTAGAAAAATATTTGTTTAATAAGTATTTATATTTTAGCTTAAATAGCTAATACTGTATTATGAATAGTATTATATTAAAATTATGAAAAAGTAAATGTTGATGAATCCAATGATATTAATAATTTCATAGAAAGTATATCATAATGTTTGGTCATCAATATGTGCTGAGCTTTATATTTATTTACATTTACTACTATATAAATTTATATCATACTGTATACTATACTTTATAAATGTATTGATATTATTAAGTTTTAGGAATTTTGGTTCGTTTGTTAGCTCAAACTAAAGTATATTTTATATATATATATATATATATTTACTATATATTGTACTTTATATTATTAACAAAGTTTGGTTCACTATTACACTATTGGCCTTCTCTTCCCAGTCTATGGTCTCAATTCCCATCAGTGCCTGAACTGGACTACGGGTCCAAACCATCGACGGATTGCATACAATGCAATGCAATCCACTGTTCATTAAATGTAATGCAATGCTAAACACGTTTATATCTATACAGACATACCATTCAATACACAACATAACTAAGCGATTCATCTAAAAGAAGTCCTCTTTTGGATCAAACTTTAATTTATTGCCAAATACTAGTTATGCCATCAGATATACTGTAGTTTACTATGCCTTCAATTCATACCAACTAAATATCTATATATAATATATAGTATTTCCCATACATATTGATATTGAAGTTGATGTCAATTACAAAAAAATAGTAGTAATTGTTAACTAAAATCTAAGAATAGATATTTAATTTAAATATATTCAACAAAATCCAATTTAATAGATAACTCTTTACAATCACTAATACTGTTTATACAGTATATTGTATTAAATAAATCACAAACACTACACAAAAAAAGGATTTTTATTCAAGTCTTACAAATAATGAAATTTTCATTAAATGTAAATCAATTCAATCTATTGATTAAATGTATAAATCAATTCAAAGCTCAATAGAAAAGCGATTTTATATTAGGAATTAATTTAGAAAATAATTTTTCAAAAAATAAGACAAACTTTTAGACATTTCGATAAACAGTACGTTTGCCTATAAAATACATTATAAAATCTATTTTGCATTTTAAAATATTTCCTATATTTTAAACATATATTCAATGAATCGGCGCATGAATTGATGTCAGGTTTGTCTGTTTGGTCCAACCCTTCGACCCAACCTTTGTATTGATATTTGAATACATATTACTTATGCAATGTATATCTCAATGCCTTTCCTTCAATGGTATGCAAAACCAATGCATTCCTTATTCACATCACTTCTTCACTGCAATCAATCAAACGTTTGTTACGCTCGACAGCGCAGGACATCAGTGGTTAACCCATAGATCGAAGCCATTCCTCTTCTATTGCCATCACTTCCAACCAATACTACCATCTCTGACATCACTACTATCACTACCAGTACTACCAATGTTTGGTATTTACTTGACTTTACTTTACTTTACTTTACTTTTGAATAACAATCACTTATGAGAGTTGTCATCGTTTTTAAAGTCAAATTGAAAAATCAGATCAAATGAAAAGCCATTGAAAAGCATTACAACACAAATTCAAACACAAATTCAAACATCTTTTCAAATGTAATTCAATTTAATTCAAAGTCAAAGACAGCGACAAACGCGTCGTTCAAATCAAATCTAATTCAATACACAAAACACTATTAAAAAGTGAATTTATTTTTCACAAACTATTCCCTTATATTCAACTCAACACTCATTTTAATGTTTTTTAACACTATTTTACACTATTTTACACATTTCTACTATAGATTACACAACTTTCCTCCCATTCCTCTCTCTTTCATTCACTTATTCACTCTTTACACTTAATAATCCAAACTTTACTCAACTTTTTTTTATAATACAAATCGACTACCAGTTTATCGTACATTCAATACTACTGCAGTTCCTCTATAGCACCTCCCGTTCCCCTCTCACCCGACCATCAATTTGTCAAAAGTTAATCCTTTTGACGATATTATACACCAATTTATTGCCAATCATTTAACATTTATACACATTTTTATAGAGATTTTTTACAAAAAAATAATGTTTGAATAAATTCAAAAATCATTCAATTATTTATTGACTGACAAATTGTTTGATAAAAACCGCACTCAATGTACTCAAAGTTTCTTTTGTCCCTTTCCTCTCTCAACTCCCGTTCCCTTCAATATTCCTCCCATTTTTGATATTAAAATCCATTAAATC